TGTGGCCCACAGGCCGTAGTTCGAGGACCCCTGCAGGCCTATGCTCTAGGTTCTATGTTTACTATCTGTTTATTAGTCAAGATTATTTACAGCTCTAAAGACCAAAAAATCTGACACACAGTCTGAAAAAGCAAGTGTAGAAGAAGAGGCTGAAGAGGTAGGTGGGGCCAGGCTGTCAAAGCTTTTATTTTGGCTTGGTGTCCATAGCACAGAGGTTATGGTGCTGGCCACATACACCAAGGCTGGCAGGTTCGAACCTGGCCCAGGCTTGCTAAACAACAATGACAACTGCAACAGAAAAACAGCTCGGCTCAGCACCTATAGCTCAACCGGCTAAGGCGCCAGCCACGTACACCTAAGGTGGCGGGTTCGAATCCAGTCCGGACCGCCAAATAACAATGACGGCTGCAACCAAAAAATAGCTGGGCGTTGTGGTGGGCACCTGTGGTCTTAGCTACTTGGGAGGCAGAGGCAGGAGACTCGCTTGAGCCCAGGAGTTGGAGGTTGCTGTGAGCTGTAATGCCACGGCACTCTACCCAGGGGGACAGCTTGAGGCTCTGTCTCCAAAAAAAAAAAAAAAAAAAGAAAGAAAAGAAAAACAGCTGGGCATTGTGGCAGGCACCTGTAAATCCAGCTAGTAGGGAGGCTCAGGCAAGAGAATCATTTAAGCCAAAGAGTTGGAGGTTGCTGTGAGCTGTGACATCAGAGCACTCTACCAAGGGCAATATAGTAAGACTCAAAAAAAAAAAGACCTTCTATTCTATCACGATGAAAAACCAGTAGCAGGGCCTAAATGGGAATGGGAGGCATACTCATATTATCACATTTTTCACTTTTTTAAGAGATTGCTCTGGGTGCTCAGTGGAGCATGGACTGTCAGGGGGCAAGAGAAGAGGAAAGGAGACTGCTTGGAGACTGCCTGTGGCAGCAGGCCACTAAGTGAGGAAGGTGGCTGAAACTGGTTATAGAAATAGAGATAGAGAAGAGGCTGCAACCAAGATGGTGCTGCAGGCAAAGCCAATAGGATTTGCTATGGGACGACACAGGGAGTAAGAAGGGAACAGGTGAGCTGGGATGATTCCTTATGCTGGAGTCACCTGGGTGTTCCCCTCAGGGAAGAGGCCGCAGGCCTGGGAGTTGTCAGCAGACAGTTGGGACTGTGTAAAGTTGCCCTGAGAAGAGAGTACACAGGAGAGAGAAGGGGCTAGAGGGTTATCAGAGATCTGGTAGAGGAGGAGAAACAGGATAGAGAAAGGTGGGAGGAAGCCCAGGAGGGGATCTGGAAAATCTAGAGGAAAGAGTTTTCCAAAGGAGGAAGTGCTCAATTGCATTATGTCAAATGCAGCCAAAAGATTGAGTGAGATTAAAAACACTCAACATTGAATTTGGCAAAATGGAAATTATTAGTGACATGCATAAAGGCGACCTCAGTGAAGTGGTAAGGAGGAAAGCTGGAAGGGAATGGGCTCACGGGAGAACGTGAAGGAAAGTAGCTGGAATGGAGCAGAGAAACAGAATGGTAAATGGGGAGGAATTTGGGGTCCCAGGAAGTCTGATGGTTAACGCACAACATTAAGGCATGTCTGTAGGCTAATGACGGCAGAGGACCATTACATACACAGAATGCCAGAACTCCAGGGTTCAGCCCCAATGGTACTTGAAGTTGTAGCTTTAATCTTTAAAATCTTTAAATGGGATTCTTGCTGTTTATTTAAGAATACATCCATTCCACAATTAGTATTTTTCTGGGAAAATACATCTGAGTTTTGTTTTGTTTTTTTGAGATAGTCTCACTGTGTCACCCTTGGTAGAGTGCCATCTACCAGTGCTGCCAGCTCCCAGGAACCTCAAACTCAATTCTCTTGCCTCAGCCTCCCAAGTAGCTGGGTCAACAGGCACCGGCCACAATGCCTGGCTATTTCATTTTTTTCCTTGTTGTTGTAATTGTTGTTTGGCAGGGCTGGGCCTGGTTTGAACTCGCCACCCTTGGTGTATGTGGCTGGCACCCTGCCGACTGAGCTACTGGTGCCACCTACATCTTAGTTTTTAATACCCAGACTGCAAAGCAACTATTTATCTGTCAATACATTTTTTTCAGCTACTATTTATATACGTAAAATTTGTTGAGTCTTCAAAAAATGCAATATTTAAACTAAATGGCTTGCTGGAAAAGCTTCACATTGCTTCCAGATACTATTGGTAGATCATCATACACCCATCATTTCACAAAGCCCATCATTTGCCATATGACAAAGGAGATGTGCAGGTATGATGTAGCTGGTCTTAGGCCACTGCTAGTGCCAACAAAGTAATGGTATGTTAACATCCATATTAAATGTAAGATGACCAAGAAGCAATGTTTTACATTTACATATTTTACATCTTCATATATTAATTGTAACATAATCTAGGAGCCATGTTGTGATTTAGGTTATTGGTAAGGTTTTTCTGACTTGCTGTACCTTAACACTTTGCCATTTAAAATAATGGGAAATAGGTTCTCATTAGTTTTTTTTTCTCGGAAAAAGTCTGACACTTCAGTAATAAATTACTGATAGTTACTTTTTTTTTTTTTGAGACAAAGTCTCACTATGTTGCCCTGGGTAGAGTGCCATGGTGTCACAGCTCATGGCAACCTCAAACTATTGGGCTTAAGCGATTCTCTTGCCTCAGCCTCCTAAGTAGCTGGGACAATAGATGCCACAAGGCCCAGCTATTTTTTGTTATTGTTGTCGTTGTTTAGCAGGCCCTGGCCTGGTTCAAACCCACCAGCCCCAGTGCATGTGGTTGGGTCCCTAACCACTGAGCTATGGGCGCCAAGCCAATTACTGATAGATATTAAGGGCAGGTGACTTTCAAACTCTGCCTTAGTTTTACAATTATAATTGCTTACCTTGCAAATTATTGTACTCCATTTCTTCAAAATCTTGTAATAAAACTGATGCTCCAAGAAGACAGAGAACCAAAATTCTGCTGTTTTGCATCTTCCCTGTGCAGAATTGGGGCTGTGCATTCTCCAGTGTGAGAAGCATGTTCTAATGTAATCAGAAAAACTAAATGGATAAATAATTTAAGAGAATTATCACTATAATCCCCCAAAGCAACAAATTATTAAAAGTGGTTCTGGGACAGGCACTGTGGCTCTCATCTGTAATTCCTGCACTTTGGAAAGATGAAGCAGGAAGATCACTTGAGGCCAGGAGTTCAAATGCAGACTGGGCAACATAGTGAGATCCCCATCTCTATTAAAAAAAAAATCTAAAAATTAGCCTTGTGTGTTAGCATGAGCATGAGCATAGAGCCCCAGCTAATCAGGAAGATGAGACAAGAGGATCGCTGGAGCTCAGGAGTTTGAGGCTGCAGGTAGCTAATATCAAGCCACTGCACTCCAGCCTGTGTGGAGTGAGACGCTATCCCCAAAACATAAATTATTAATTTAAAAAATTTTAAACCAGTTCTGAAAGAATGTTTAAAAAGAGATATTAAAAGTGGTTTCATTTGATTTCTCATTAAAAGTTTTAAGAAAAGAAAACAAGTGACTTCAATAGGTCAGAAATGTTGTAATTGTGTAATTACGACAGACTTAACATTTTGGGGAAAGATCAACAGTGAACTTCTGGTTCTGTTAGCCCTTGTTTTTTACGGCCACGAGGTCCAAACAGTAAGATAACAGTCCTGTAAGCCAGACCACGTGAGGAGTCAGAAAAGCAGGGTGAGTGCGCTCCCTCCAAAGCAGCTTAGGGGTTTACTTAACTGTGCAACTGCATTTCCTGGCTGTACAATGCAGGGCCTTTCCCCTGTGGGTTTTCTCCTTTTTATAAGAGCGGCAGAAAGCAGTCCCTCTCAGGGGCTTGACCACGGCGTGGGCCAGTCAGCCAGGACAGCACTGTGGCGAGCTGCAAATCCGGCAGACCACGGATTTATGAAGGAAGAAAAGTGCCTTTGAAAAGGCCAGTGCCAGGTCCCAGGGACCGAGTATTTCCATTTGAGGCAGTGGCTTTACGGTTTACAGACGTCCCTCAGAAGGCTTTCCCATGGTTTCCCAAGAAGTGTAAAAAAACCATCTAGAACGAACACAGGAGCCCAGCGCCCCACTCCTACATGAGTGGCGGAATCGGGCGGTAGGCGCACGATCGGCCACTCTGCGCCGGCCCGAGGGGCGGGGCAAGAAGGGGCGCGGAGCAGCCCAGAGAGGGGAGGGCCGGGGCGTGGCGAAGGAAAGGGGCGGGGCGTGCGCGACTCGCCGAGGATCCGAGTGCCGGGAGTCTGGAAAGCATGGCTACGCTTCGCCGGCTGCGAGAGACGCCGCGGCACTTACTAGTTTGTCAGAAATCCAACTTCGGACACGAAAAGTCGCGACACCGGCACCTCGTGGAGACGCACTATCATAATTACAGGGTGAGTCCGACCATCCTTTCCTTCCAGGACCGCGCTTGGCCACGGGTAGCAGGATTTCCTGGGGCGCAAGGAGTACGGTCTGGGGAGCTCCTTCCCGGGCGGTGCGCTCGCCGGGCATGCTGGGAGCTGTAGTCTGATATCTGCTCCAAGCCTGGGGCTTACAGGGCTCCGGGACTACAATTCCCACGGTGCGCCGGGCGCAGGGCGGTGCGTTGCCTTGGAGCAAGCAACAGTCAAAGCGCCCTGTGGTCCTTACTCCTGGCCAGTCCCCATCCCAGTGGAATGCCTAGGAGGATGTGAGGGGCCAGGGTTAGATCGTGGAGTAAGGAGGGTGTGACCGCTGCACCGTGCATCTGTAGGCGATCACGTGCACCTCGATTTTGCCCAAAACCTAGACGGGTCTGGCGCCTCCTCCTTCACTACCTCCTTCCCCAGCTTGATTCCGTGCTTCTTTCTGTGCATCTGATTCCTGCTTTCTAAAATAATTATGGGAACTGAGAAACTTAGTAAAACAACTTAAGGCCGGACGGGGTAGCTCACACCTGTAATCCTAGCAGTTTAGGAGGCCAAGGTGGGAGGATCGCTTGAGGCCACGAGTTTGAGACCACCCTGAGCGGGACTCCATCTCTACAAAAAGTAGAAAAATTAGCCAAGCGGGGTGGCTAGTCCCAAACTACCTGGGAGACTGAGTTAGGAGGATTACTTGAACTGAGGAGTTTGAGGTTGCTGGAAGCTGTGCTGACATCACTGCATTCTACCTGTGTCAACAGACCAAGACCCTGTCTCAAAAAAAAAAAAAAAAATTAAGATGAGGGCTTAAGCATTTTTCACTTTAAACTGTTTGGCCTAATAACTCAGCCCTGAGTGGACAGTGCCACAGAGACATAAGTGGTGACCTGATTCATCAAGGATGGAGTGGTGTTTGAGCTTTGGGAGAGTCTTTCATAATATGCAGCATTTGGGCAACATTTGAAGCTTGTTTGGTTAACACATCTGTTTTAGATGGAAGGCTGATCACAGACAGCAGATCAGAGAGGTACACCTTAACTTGTCTGATCTGATCTGTTGATTTTTCTTTCTTGAAAATGGAAACATCCAGGAGCACCTTTGCCTGCATATAGGGCCTTAATAATTATATCTATAAATTCCTTAAGCCTTCATTCCAGAATAGTACCAGAATACTATTAAATTATATGATATTTCCTTGAAAATAGGGGAATAGAACATGAAATAGACAGTACTGCTTGTTTGTAAAAGGTAAAATGTAACCAAGACCTTCTGTTAAAATTTTTCTGCTCAGTCTTTCTCCTGTACTCTATGTTGGAATGTAGGGATGAAAAACTTGAATTGTCAAATTTCACTTTGCCTGAGATTGGTAAATTAATTTAAGAGTTTTGTTGCCTATGTTTACTTGTTCTAATAAGACCTGTGGAGAAGTAGCAACTTTCATGATCATACTTCATACTTAAAAACCTGGGTGTTAATCTTCTTGAAAATAAGACCTTGTATTATGTGTTCCAATAGGTTTCATTTCTCATACCTGAATGTGGGATACTGTCAAAAGAACTGAAAAACCTGGTCATGGAAACTGGGCCCTATTACTTAGTGAAGAATTTACCTCTTCATGAATTAATTTCTCAGGAGTTCATCAACACCTTTGTAAAAAAAGGTAAGAAAAACTAATGTCTGTGAACAAAGGCAAGGTGAGGAAATATAGGGAGACAGACCACATCACAATGCTAGGGTTCTTTTGTTTTAAACAGGAGCTGGGGGAAAATCTGTATGATTAAATGTATGTGTGTATCACCCCCTATGCCTCAGTGTTCTCATCCTACTCTGCTCTTGTACCCTCTTTAGGTGGTTGTTTCTGATTATCCTTGGCCACAAATGTTGGATGGGGATGCTGTAACATGAGGTTATCTGTCATCTTAAGACAAGGATTAATAAGAGAAGAAAGTCTTGGGATCTTTGTTCAGATGCAGTACTGTTGGGTCTGTGGCTACAAAGACACTGCTCATGGTGTCCCCACAGCAGCTGTCTCAGAAGGCTGGTCTTACGATGCACAACCACAGCTCCTGCTCACAGGGCTGGGTGTTCATTGGAGTTTAGTGTCTTCTCCTTAGATTTTTGTGGCCCTAGTCCTCCTCTGCTTACGTCATGACCAGCCATATCTGCTGGATTGACTGGTTTGTTTCACTTGTTTCCTGGGAGCAATTTGTTCAAAACTATATTTCAGAGTGTCTTTTTTTTTTTTTTTTGCAGTTTTTGCCCAGGGCCAGGTTTGAATCCACCACTGGTATATGGGGCCAGCGCCCTACTCCTTTGAGCCACAGTTCACTGTCTTTAAGAATTCCACCCTTACTGTGTCATCTGTACGATGGTTATACACTTACTTTGCAGTACTCCCCATATTCATCCTCTCCAGTGGGGCTGTGGAGAATTCTAGTCATTTGTAGCACCTCTTGTTCTGAAGCCTGCTGCTACTTAGTTAATAATATGAACACTTAATATAGCAGGCATTGTAAAATATTTTACTGAATTTAACTCTCTGAACATCTCTGTGAAGTAGGCCTGTGCTCACCATTTAATAGGTGAGAAAACTGAGGGTTGGGGAGGTTGAGATACTTTTGAATCTTAACCTGGAACTCTCCCTCTATAGTGTGTCCATTTCTCTAGTATTCTACTTTGAGCCTCTCTGCCAGCATCCCTAAGGGTGTATGTTCCATTTGGAGTCACTCTCTTCTTGATAACAGTAAATATGCACAAATTGCCTTGGGAACTAGCTGACTTCTGTGTGCTCCAGCTGATTCTTGGCAAGTATTTGGTTCACTTATTTATTAATTTATTTATTTTTTGAGACAGAGTCTCAAGCTGTCACCCTGGGTAGAGTGCTGTGGCATCACAGCTCACAGCAACCTCAAACTCTTAGACTCAAGCATTCTTTTGCCTCAGCCTCCCAAGTAGCTGGGACTACAGGTG